CTAATATGCCTGGTCTGCTGTCTGTACAGATGGAGGGGTTGCGCTAGCTTTCCACATTGCTACTTGTCTTCATTTAATTTACATATAGGGATTTGGTTTGGGGGACAACAGAGGTTAAAATGCCAAGAAAACACTCTACTTCATCTAGGGATAGTTTTGTTTTATTTTGTTGTTAGCAAGTTTCAAAAAAGATGCAAACTGATTAGTATTGCTATTATCCTGTTCAACACATCAGCATCAACCAGAAAATAATGAACAGAAGATATTGAATGCATTATTTTAAGGAGGAGGAGGCGGGACATCAGAGGCATTGTTTAAGGAGGAAAAAAAAAAAACAAAACAACACTCTACAAGGAGCTATGGCAATATACATGAACATAATACTCAAATGACTTTAATGTCTTAGTCTTAAACACATTTGATAAATAAAGAGAAGAAAATATATATTGACTGTTGTTCACACAAAAGCACATGGATTACTTACTAAAGGGGGCGTGAGGGATACAGGTTTAAAATATAATCCTGTGAAATAAGTTTTAGAAGAATCCTAATTCATTATTGCTTTGGCCTAGCATCTTTCTGACATGACTTTAATATTTAGGTTACATTAGGTCAGAGACTGCTGTAACAAGTAAGTAATTGCTCTTTGATCTCTCCGAGACTTATGACGTAAAGAAAATGCTGAACTCTTACATCCAAGGCTATCATTTACTATAATGAACCATCACAAAAGCACAAATCATATATTCTATTAACTATCTTTCTTAAGGGCTTCATTGTGAAGCTCTGAAACATTTATTATTATTATTATTATTTCAAAAATAACTTTCCTCAGACTCAGTTTCCTTTCCTACAACTCTATGTAAAATTCAGCACCACTTTAGGAGGTTTTACAAGGGAGAATTTGGACACTTTAATTGTTAAAATGAATGCAAACCAAGCATGGCATTTTAATAAGTGTTACCAACGCCTAATTAGAAGCAAATTAGATTATCCATATAGAAAATACATCCCAAACAGACCTCTCCTTTGCTAGAAATGTCACTGTGCTATGAAACTGCAGAGGCTTAGACAATAAGCAATGCTTGTTGGAATGAAATTTACTGGCAAATCACTTCCAAGCTATCTTCTTCCACTTTATCGGATTTCTTCAGTGGACAAGCTATATAGGAACTCTCCTTCTTGTTGCTCACAGAAAAGAACAGCTCTGCTCTTGGCTCCTCGGCAAATACTGATAACATTAAGAAGAATGTTTTGAAACACTACTTTTGCTTGAGGCTGCATGTTGCCTTTGTGCCATTACAAGCAAGTAACTTTCCCAAAATACTTTTTCAAAGAGACCAAGCAGTAGAAAGATTAAACAAAGAAAAGGCAATATAATATTCAGAGTTCACAGCTTAAAAACAACTCATGTACTCACACAAACCTTCTCAAGCAAAAATGCCTGTCTATTTAAGAAAATGGGGGGAGGGTATTAAACATTCTTTGTATCCTCTAGAAAAGTCTCAAAGTGTATTTTTACATTTATCACTTTATATATCTGTGCATATAACACAAACCCTACTATGCTGGCTACTATGTTGAATATTACACATACAAGGTAAAATTGATTTTCAGAAGTCACAGAAATTTAGGGCATTAAAAAGTACCCCAAACCAAAGATTGTACATACAGATTTAAAGTTATGATCCTAGAAGTTTGAATCTTTCAGGAGCACAAGCTAGACCATGCACACATTCCAGTTCTCTGACGGCCCACAAATAAACACGGGAAAAACAAATGTGTGGTTTTAAAGAAAAATCACTTAGACAAGTTCATGTATTTGGAAATACTACTTTTTGTATGTGATTGTGATTAATTCTTAATTCATCCATAGAATCTTTTTATAAATAGAATTACTCAATGTCTTGGTAAATCAAGTTTGCTGTGAAGGAAATTCAATATGCAAATCCTTATCCTGCCCTCTTTTACAAATAGTCACTCTTGTCAGTTTGAAAAACTGAAAATCAACATGAGAACAGTGTAAGTATACTTGACCTTATTGCCTAATGTCTATCAAGATTGCCACGGCTGGTCGATTTCAAATTTGTGAAACTGACACTTAAAAATGTATAGTGCATCTTCAGTCTAGGTCCTTCAAATGCTAACGAAACTCTAACCATAGTCTTAGATTTTCCTTCCATACAAATTGCCACAGCACTTCCAAAACGAGTTTAATCACACCATTAATCTATGGGGACCCTTTCCTTAAAGGAATGCTGCTTCGTTTATCTTTTAACCCTATATTATGCAAATTGCATCCTTATCAGTGCAATAAAGAAAAGTTAATGCTCGACTTGTTTAATCCTTGACATACACTAAAAAACAGGGATAATGAATTTATACAAATGCCTCTTCTATTTCCTAAGTTTCACGCTGCATATGAAAAAAACAAAACCTTCCTTACACCACAGAGAAGACCTAAAAAATGTATTTTGAAAGTCTGTCAATCACTGTGTATGCCAAATATCAAAGCAAGAACTAACAGGTTAAAACAGGAAACAAAAAGAAAGAAAGAAAACTTGGGGTGGGGGTTGCTGCTTGTTTTTTTTTGTTTTTTTTAATGTCACTCTAGGAAGGGTTTGCATACTAGGATATCTTCTGCATATAAGAACAGTTATACAGGCCCCTAGTGGTAAATTGCAGCAGATGAGGGAGATTCCAATTCTCACTTCTCGACTTTGGCATATTCCGGTTTTAAATGTCAGTCTTAAAAGGCAAATCAAATAATCATATTTAACACTTCAATTTTACTTTATGATTATCTATTTAAATGAGTATATATTCAAACAGATCACTGCATTTCATTATTTTAGTAACTATGCAACTGCACTGGCCCAAGAAAAATTTGTTACATAACTGCCACAATAAAATGTTTAACTTATATACCCCTTTACATGCAACTACAAAAGTAATAGATTACTCACAAAACATGAAAAGTATATTTGATAGAGACATGCTTCTTCCTAATCACATTCCTACTGGATCATTCTTACTAATGGGTGTAAGAACCTATTATTTCTATATAAAGTGCTCACATCTGAAATAGAGATACAAACTGAATGCTACTTTTACAGCAGTAGAAATGTAAATGTATTTTCCAACAACCGTCAGTAATAACACTAACATCGGAGTACATCTATTTTAAAAGATCTACAATTAAGAACACCTCTTAATCCCTCATCTGCTTGCTGTCTTTCCTTCACAAAAGAAAATTCCAGGCAGGCACATTTGCAGCTTTTAGCAATTTTTAACTGGACACAATCTGACAGCTGAATTCATGAAACTGACCAGCTTGTCAATTTCACACTTTGAAAGTACAATAATAGCTGATAGCATGAGGGTGAATTTAAGAAATCTGTCACAGAATTGCTAGCTCCATTGAAAAGCAAAGTACAGTACATAATTATGGTAGGTGGGAGGTAGATTTTTTCTTTCTTTTTATTTGTCCATGGAGGATGTCTGTTTTAAGAATTTGGACACTGAGCACAAAAACATTTGCTCTCTTGTTCGTAAGTCAATAAAGTAATACCTATCTGTGGCATATAACAATATTTTTTTCAGAAGTATACTATCTACTAACCATCATGTTAGATATCATCATAGTACCTACATAACAGAATCTTTAAGATGATGCCTTCTTAAAGATCCCGAAATACCAGACTGTTACTAGTCTGGTACAACACCCTGGTTTTACTCAAGTTGAGTGGTGAGTGTGTGCACTTTATAGAACAGCCAAAATGGTAGGAGTGACTACCAGTGATTAACTCCTCATAGTGTGTTACAGGATGGTTAAAAATAACACACCAAAGGTAAAGTCTACATTGGTAGTCCTCAATCCAACAGCAAATCTATCTCAAATCACAAGCAGTTACTGCACGAGACTCACAATTGTGCGCTGTTCTCAGTTCAATCTATGACACTGTGTTTGGAGCTAAAAGAAATAGAAGAAAAGGGGGGAAAAAACTTTTAAGTGGAAATATAAGGTGCTTAATTAAGGTGCTAAGTGTGGATTGGATTGGGGGCTCACGCTAAGGACATAGTAAAACAGAGGAGGCATTTGTCGTCCTTTATTAGAAGGCAACTGGAAACAATACCAGCGGATTTTGATCCTCCCCAGCTTTGGAGAAGAGAGCTCCTATTCAGAAACCTTGGAACACCCAACAGATAAAAGCCAAGCTCACACTTAGTGGTTCAGTTATTTGTGTGTTTTGTGTTTGTTTGTTTGTTTGTTTGTTTTAAGCGTAAGGAAACTGACTTCCCATGTTAGTGTTTCTAAGTGGACATCAATCTCACAGAGAGAGAATTCAAGTTTTCCCTGTCTATATGAGACCTACAGTCATCCTATAGTGAAACACAGAATCTTTGGTTTGTTCACGGCTTTCTTTTTAAATTGTTTCCTACAACTTGGACTTTTCATTATCAAGCCTGCGTACCCTTCCCCATCGAGTAAATGTGTGTGCGTGTGTGTAAGCACACAAATCCCGTAGCAGAACTAGGAGCTTTGATTCAGCCAAGGAAAGGTCTCCAAAACAATCCCCCTCTATGGCAGTCGCGGAGACTTGGGTTCCTGCTATGTCTCCTTTTCCCCACTAGTTCGGAGGAAAGAAAAGAAATCGCCCCTTCACCATAACCAACCCTCCTTAAAACAGTAATCACTGACTTTCACAAAAAGATGTGGTGACAGAATCGCTGGGGAGGGTCGGAATGCCCCACCGCGCCACCATGTCCCCCAATACTACGCCCACCCAAGGAGGGAAGAGCGGAGTCACACAAACACACAGACTCAACAACCTCTTTCTCCAGAATTCCCTCTCCACCAGCTCCGAGGTCTCCAGCGCAAAACGAGCCATACTGGGGAGGATCGCAGCCCGATGAGCTCCAGGCGCAGAGCAAACTGTGTGCGCTCCGGCGCCAGGACGCAGGGAGCCGAGGTGCAGAGTGCGGGCTCTCGGCGCAAGCTAGCCCGGGGCGGCGAGAGGAAAGGGCACAGGGGGGCGGACCGGGGCAGCTTGGGGACTCACCTGGTCATGTTGGCTCAGGGCAGCCGCCACCAGCGTCTCCCGCGCAGCCACCAACACTTTGCTCCAGCGCCTTGGCGCCCCGCACGGCCGCGTAGCCTGCGCCTCCGGGCGGCCGAATGAATCCCGCCGAGCAGCGGCCGCCGCCCGGCCCCGACCCCGCCAGCCGAGTCCAGAGCGAGGAAGTGGAGGGGAGTCGGCGACAGAGTCCAAGTAGCCAAGAGCCAGCAGCCTCCGCGGGAGCGCGTCCCCCCGCCCTCCCCGCTCCCTGCCCCCTGCGCTGCTGCCGCCGCCGCCCAGGCCGTCCTCCCGGCCGCGGAACCCGCGGACCCGCGCCGGTGCTGCTGCGTCCTCGCCGCCCGCGCGCCCAGTGCTCTGCTCCGGCCGCCGCCGCGCCCCCTCCTCCTCCGCGCCTTCCTCCGCCTGCGCCCGCGCCCGCTGCGCTGCACTCGCGGCCGGGGTCCGGGGCCGCGGCGCCTTGCCTCCCGCGGCCGCGCCTCTAGCCTCCTGCCGCCGAGGCTGCTTTTAAAGCGGAGTCTTTGGCCGCAAATAGCAACTCGGCAGCCCCCCTCGGCGCCTCCCTCCCCTGTTTCTCTTCTTCCCCCAAAAGTGAAGCGCACGCGAGAGGTAACCGCAAACTCAGGCCCGCAGGGGGGGCGGGAGGCGGAGAGAGGGGCCAGGCGACGCTTGGGGATGGCCCGTGCAGTCCGGCCCCTGAGAGGCGGCCGTCCGGTCAGCCCGGAGACCTGGCTCGAACCTGAAGATGACTGTAGGAGGCGAGGTGGGTGGCTGGGTGGGGAAATGAAATGTAAAAGCTTAGGAAAGTGATTGAAAAGGCTCCTCTCTTTGTTTCCTTGTCGGGGTGGTTTTGAAAATCCTCAGAACGTGCTAGGGATCCCACAGCACCGCAGTGGCCCCAAAGCTGGCGAGTGTGAGTGCCGGTAGCCTGTGCGTGAGTGTGAGTGTGGGGGCGCGCCGGCGTGGAGAGAGCTGGCCGGCTGCGCCCCTGGCACATCCCTGAGTCTGGCCCACTGGCCCACTGAGAGGGCAGAAGACTGGTCGGAGAAAGGAGTGGGTCAGCAGAGTAACTGGGGGAGCCAACACACACACACACACACACACACACGGGAGGGGGCGAGGTGACGTCACTCCTCAACCTCCATCCAACAGGCCAGTAAAGACCCTCCCCAACAGATGCCCTCATCGCCTAAAAGATGCATGCCCGGGTGCTTCCTCTGCTCTGCTGTTGCGTACAGGAGGAGGAAATGCTGGTCGCGCCCTCGTCCAAATCAGTGATAATCATCCAAGCAGCAGCCTTGATGAGACCGTTTGTGCCCGCCCTAGTTCACCTTGGCAGCCTCCTTCAGAGGTGCTCCTGGGATCCGCTTTGGAAGCAAAGAGAAAGAAATGGAAGCATTGGATTCAGAACTTAGTGTGGTAACTCTTGCTTGTGTAATGCTGAAAATGCAGGACGCCTCAGCTGCGCTGAAGGACACCTTACAACCCTTCCCTAAACAGGTATCCAGTCTGGCTCCACAGCTTCATCCACGGGACTGGCGGAAGGCTAAGGCGCAGAGTGTGACTTGTTAGCTAACAGATGAATTTTAGTCATTCATAGGAACTCCAGCAAGTGGAAAAAGTCAACAGCTGGTAGCCACAATTGGCAACTGGCCTACCAAAATTTTATTAGAAACTTTGTCAGTAAGGTTCAATAAAGTAAGGTCAGGGCCTTCAGCCACCTCCCTTGCTCATTCTGTTTTCAGGCCAGTGTGTAAACACACACACACACACACACACACACAGTACTCATTGCTACTGGCTCCAGGCTTCCTTGGAAAGAGCAAAGGTAAGCAGATACCCTCCGTTTTGACCAAATGATCCTGTTTCCATACTGTTGTCTCTAGCCACTGTGTGTTTCCACTATCTGTGTGCTGTGCTGAAAGGCACTCAAAGATTGGTGGCTAGTTCTCTGCCTCCTGTGTGCTCCAGAAAATAAGTTGAATATTTTTGAAAGGAGACTTGCTAAGTGCTAAATGCAGTAGAGTATCCAGCAGTCTAGGGCAGTGGGGTTGTTCTTTTTGCTAAGGTTAACCTCTAGTAAATGTCAGGAAGAAACATCCTGTGCAAGCCTCAGAGTCAAGTGTAGCCACCTGTCTTCCTGGTGATGCCAGGAGCTGAAATGCTAAGCAAGTATTTAATGGGTACCCAAAGGATGCACCCAGAAAGCTGAGCCTCCAGATGGGTGATTTTCACCCAAGTTGTAAACTGAGCTGGCTTTGCTAGTGCCACAACCTCCCTGCTAAACTGATGAGTCCACTTGTCTCATCAGGAAGTTAAAAAACAAACAAACAAACAAACAAACAAACTAATAATCCTTATCTTTCATTGAGAGACATGCAGATCTGAGCTCAGAGGGGAATAAAAAGAGGAGAAAACCAGCCAGGAAGTGTGACTGTCTTTGGGAACATGAAAAAGGAAATGTCATGGTTCCCACTACCCAAGTTAGAATTGCAAGAGAACTCAGGGATGAATGTTACCAGCATAACCAACAAGCAGGTTCATCATCAACAAAGCTGAGAAGCAACAGAGAACTCTACAAATAAATGGCATAACCCGCCTCCCCCCCTTCCAGGACCTTACAACATGAGGTCTATACCTAGGCATTTTAGAGAAGGAAATAGTGGGGAAGAGAAACAATTCGAAAATCTGTGCTAATCTAACACAATAGTCTTCACAGTAGTCAAGGTGACGCTGCTGGGGAAGACCAGCCATTCTCTGAATATATGAGGGAGGAGTCCTGGCAGTAAAGCTGCAATTCACTAGACACACATCAATACATTCAGAGCAGTTTTGGACAAAACCACCTTATGGCACTTCCTTAACCTCAGGGAACATTTACTTTATGGAGATTTGAGGTCAAAGGATATCAGAGGCAGTCCTATCACCTGTTGAAATCACCTCGGTTTCCAGGTAAGGAAATGGAAGACCTGAAAGTTTAAAGCTGCCCAACTATTTGGTGGCAGAAACTGTTCAAGAACATAGATATTATAACACAGTCCCCTCCCACCCATACTATCCCTCCAACCAACCCAAGCCCACTGCCTGTGTGTCAGTTCTGACTTAGCAATTCTATAGAACAGAGTGGAATTGCTCCCTAGGGTTTCTGAGGCTAAATCTTTACCAGAGTAGACAACCTTGTCTTTCTCCCTTAGTGGGTTTGAACAACCGACCTTGTAGTTAGCAACCCAATGCCTATCCCAAAGTGCCACCAAGACTTCTCCACTGTCCCTTCTTATTGGTAAGTGCTGTTGAGACAGTTCCAACTCACAGTGACCCTGTATAAGATTTCTGAGGCCATAAATTTTTGCGGGAGTAGAAAACCTCATCTTTCTCCCACAGAGCAACTGGTGGGCTCAAACCGCTAACCTTGTGGTTCACAGTCTAGTGTTTTTCATCTAGAACTGCCTAGCTCCCCCCGCTATCCCTTATCACCACCAAATTCTAAATCAAAGGAGCTATTTTTTCCAATCGATCAATGAGCAATACACAGAAAATATTTTAAAGTTACAGACACATAAAGTAGTAGGAATAAAGATTTTCTTAGTTCCCCCTAAGATCCGGTATGATGAATAACACACAGGAGCTTTGCTAAAGCTCAGCCCCTCTAGTGTATTATTCTACATATGATGAGTCTGAGTCGGCTTTGGCCCCCATCCAAGGGAGTTCGTTCCTAGAAGTACTCTCAGGATTTTATTCTCATCTATCATGAAACATCCTAGAAAGAATGACAACAATAGTACTAATCATTTATTATACTTGCATTATGTACAAGCACTATGATAAGCTCATTTTATTTCCTATTTCAAAAGGCATGCCATGGCCTTTCAGGCATCAAGAATCCAGTTGGTCTAGAACAGTCTTGTTTTTGTCTTTGTTTCAATGAAATTGATATGGAAGGAGACATGGTGAGTATTGTATGTATTAAGACTAACTTTTGTAAAGTGTAATTAATATGTGTGGATGGGTCCTGGTGAGTCACTGTAGAATAAGCTCTAGACCGCAAGGACAATTTGAACCACAAGGTTGGCAGTTCAA